CAGTAGCTTTGTAGTATAGTTTCAAGTTGGGGATTGTGATACCCCCAGCTATGTCTCTGTTGCTTAGAATTGCTTTTGCTATTCTAGGTCTCTTCTGTTTCCAAATGAATTTTTGGATTGTTTTCTCTGTTCTGTGAAATATACTGTTGGGATTTCAATCAGGATTGCATTAAACCTATATAGTAGTTTTGGAAGTATGGCCATTTTCACTATATTGGTTCATCCTATCCAGGAACAAGGGATGTCTTTGCATTTTCTTGTATCCTCTTCAATCTCTATTTTCAGAGTACTGTAGTTCTCAATGTAGAGGTCTTTTGCTTTCTTCATTAGATTGATTCTTAGATATTTCTCTTTTCGGGGATGCTATTGTGAAAGGGATTGTTTCCCCAATTTCTCTCTCAGTGAGTTTGTTATTTGTGTACAAGAAGGCTATTGATTTATGTATGTTGACCTTGTATCCAGCTACTCTACTGAATCTGTCAATCAAGTCTAGAAGTCTTTTGGCCGAGTTTTTTAGGTCTTCTTTCTATTTGCAGAAGCTAAACTTTTGAATTTAATTTAAAACTTTAAAAAAAATAACGGAACCCTTTTAAAAAGTAACAGAGGAATTTCTCTGTTTAGAGTAACTCGGTGAGGCTGGCAGATTGCAGATCTGAGTCTCTTTGGCAACTTATTGGAACCCTATCTCAAAGTAAAATTTAAAAAAGGACCGCCGATGTAGCTCAGCGCTGAAGGGCAGCCTCATCCCAAATCCCCAGGTCCAGGAGGGGGGAGATTTGGCATTTCTTACCATAGCTTTTGAAAATTTGAATTTTTTTTTTTTGAATCGGGGATCAAACTCAGGATCTCACGCTTGCCAGGCAGGCACTGTGCTGCTGGGCTAAATCCCGGGCCCAAAAATTTGAAAGATTTTCTATTGAAAAATTTAAATTGTATAACTTTTTCTTTTTAAAATGAATTTTGAGTAAGGATGTCTTTACATTGTTACAAGATAAGAAGATGTGGAAAGGTATTGAAAATGCTGTCTCTACTGACCTGGTCCTCCCACTTGCTCATGCTATAGATCATGCCAGGGTTTTGAAATGCAAAGACAGCAAATAGAAATGCAAGTGTGTGTTTAAAACAAGTATTTATTAAGAAAAAACATGTATGCTGTGAAGTTCGTATTTCCTACTCCATCTCATTTTATGTGATCCTGGAAGATGTTTGGGAAATACTGGCACAATTCAGATGGGGCAGCTTTTTGAGCTTTGTGGTCTGGGTATTGCAAATGGTGGAAATTGATTTATTAGTAAATAAAGATTTTTTCCTTTTTACCTTCAAGTAATGTCCTTGATTTTATTTAGTGACTTTCCCCTGAGCACATAGCTGTGTGTGGTCAAGAGGAATATTTGGGAAACCCAGGAGCACACGAGGAGCTGTGTTCTTTACAAGTCCAGTTTGGCAAAGTGTTTCCCATCGTGCACTCTGCGCCTGCCCCGACCAGTCTAATTCTCCAGTCTCCCTCCCTCGTGCACCCAGGAAGCACCGCCAGGCCTCTGGGTCGCCAGCCCCAGGGTCTCACTTCCCTTCTACTGTCCCTTCTCCAGCGATCTTCCGGGCCTCTGGAGGTCACCTTTCCACCCGGCCTCGGGGGCTCAAGTCTCCAGCAAACTGCCGGCCTCCCTCAGCCCTGGCGGGCGGAGACCCCTTGGCCTGCGTGGCCGTTCCTGGAGGTGGCTGTGCCCAAACGCTCATTCAGACTGGGCCCCTTCGAACCCCAAATAGACCTCCATGGCCCAGGCACCCCGTGCCAGGTCCCTGGTTCTGTCCTCACTCCACCTTCTCTCGTCTTCCGGGACGGCACTGTCTGCTCTGCTCACTTTCCTCTACTGGCCTCGCTCCTCACTAAGGGTACCTCCCCAGCAGCCGCCACACAGGAGGTCACAGGAAGCCCCTGGCAGCCCGTCCCCTGCCTGCAGCCCCTCCCATGCCGTAAAAGCCGACTGTGACTTCTCTCTTCAGAACAGAACCCCCATGCCTGTCCCCTGCCCCGTGCTCAAAGCAGCCCCCCAGGGGGGATTCTTGTGCGGCAGGGGGGACCTGCACCCTGCAGTGAGAAGTCCCCACTCTGCTGCTGTCACAGCGCACACACTCCCACCCTTCGGAGGGACCTTTCTGTGTCTGCAGCAGCGCCTCTCAGCTGCTCACACAGAGACCCAGCTGAGTTTCAGGAGCAGCAACTCCTGGCCGGCAGGATGGGTGGAGGAGAGGGGTTGCATCAGCGCTGACAGTGTCCCCCGCTGAGGCCCATAAACCACATACGTAGAAGCAAATATGAAGTCACTGTTACATGCGATGTGTTCTGCCCTCCAGCTGCTGCCCGGACAGAGCTGGCATTTCTGTGGTGTGGAGAGCAGGTTCCTGCCCACAGCCTGCCCCTCGGTGACCCACTATGGGCCTGCCATTTGTGAATTTATTTCAGTACTCACTTTCTCTTCTCATCTACTTTAAAACATAAAAAACAACATTAAAAACTGAAAAACACAAACTGGGAAATGGTGCCTGCTATACCATATAACTGACAAAGGACATCTCTAACTCTGTCTCTTTCTGTCCATATCTCTGTATTTGTACCCATATCCGTATCTATAGCCACACACAACAGATGCAAGTATCATCTATAAACCCATAAAAATCAATCAAGTTAGCTGGGCAAAAAATATGAACCAATAATTGAAAGAAAAGAAAATACAAATGACCAACAGACACATGAAAACATCTCTTCAGTGAACAGCGAGGCAGAAGCAAAGCCGGAGTGAACTGTCCCTTCATATTTGTTGTGCCTAGATTGCGAAGTCCCAAAGACCACCAGGAAGCTGTTCCCGATGCAAGCACATGATGGTCGTTTATTCAAGCTCGAGCAGGGGCTCTCAACCGTCACCGCACCGACGCAGCGGATCAGAACTGAGAGCCCCGAATTTCAAATTAGCAGGGTTTTTATAGACGTTACAGCAAGGTTTGGAGATTTTCTACTTAGCAGTTACATGATTGGTTGACAATTAGCAAGCATGAAGTGTACATTTCTGATTGGCTAGGTACATCGGGGGTTGAGGGGTGGCTATATGTAGGTTTTACCAGGGAAAAGAGGGACAAAGGTCTGATGGTCAGCAGACATTTGCAGCTTGTTCTAAAAATTGTGGTGCCCGGAACATCAGTTCCAGGCAAACAGATGGCTGAGTAATTAACTTAGGAACTTTGGTTAGTTACAGATTGTATCTTCTGTCCCAGAGCAAACACATTTTAACCATTAATTTGAGAGGACAATAGAGACTAGTGCATTTTAGCAAAATGGAGTCACTTTGGTCTCACAATATTGCTCATACTGACAACACTGAAAAAGTCAGCACCATGCACAGGTGAGGACTGGTGGACGGAGGGCTCCGTTACACTGCTGAGAGAAGTGTAAGCTGGCGCAACTACTTAGAGAGCAGCTGGCAATGTCTATAAACTTCGAACATTCGCATAGTTTGTCTAGCCATTCTAGCTTTATACCTACATTCCTAAACAATCTCTTGCAATTGTACGTGCAAGACACGGAGGAGAGTTTTCAGAGCAGCACTGTTTTTTTAAAAAAGGGAAGCAACTTTAGATAAATTGTGGTATATTCATGTAAAAGAATCCTACTAGAGAAAATAAACTAGAATTATTGGGATGAACCACACGAAATTGCCATTCTAGAGCTATATATTCTAAAATTAGAAGTTCCATCTGGTTCAGGAACACAAAGCTGATCAAATAAAAGAAGACGTACGTGTGAAGTATGAGTTATACAATGTCAAGAGCACGCACATGAGTCCTGCTGGTGCCTGTGAGCTCATGAGGACGTTATAGGTGCCCAGGCCATGGGCGGGGAATGAGGATTCAGTGGCCGCTGCCTGCGAAGGCCTGGGATCTGGGGAGTCTGCCACGCGGTGCGGAGTGGTTATGGGGCCGCAGATGCAGGGGTGGTGTTTCTTCAGCTGAGCGCCGGCTGTGGGGTTTTCTTTCTCACTCTGTGTGTTGCGCCTGGTTGGCCTAATTTGCCACCAGATAGGCTGGTTGCTCAGCCAGGTGGGTTGAATGTGCCGGGGTTTGACCCTCGTGTGTGGGGCAGAATCCATTTCTCCCGAGTGCTGGCCCTGAAGGCCCTAACTCTTCCGGGTCGGTCAGGGAGCCCAGGTCTCGCCGTGGCTCCGCCTCCTCACCCCAGACACCCGCGCCCCATCCCAGAGCACGCGGCCGCCCCGCTACCCCATCGTTTGAAAAATCCTGAAGACCCTGAAAACTCCGAGGACTCGGGTTTGGCCGAGTGGGAAACCTCCCCTGCTCCTGGGCCCGCCCGAGTCCTCTGGCCGCACCAAGGGGACGAGCCAGTTTTGGCCTGGGGCTCCTTGCTGCAGTCAGAAGAGCCACCCTTTGCTGCTAAGTCCCTGACAGCGAGAGCGACTGAGAGCTGTTACTGTTCCCATCCTACAGGCCAGGAAACCAAGGCTTGGTGGGACTCAGGAATACTCAAGCCCTGCTGCTGGAAACAGGAAGAACCAGGCCTGACCTCTGCAAGGCTGACCTGTAAGTCCAGGACCTGTCTTTCTGCACCCCGTGCTCGGGTGTGAATATTTCCTGAGGGCCAGAGAGTGGCCGGTGCAGCTGTACTTTGAGGCCTGCAAGAAACCGACTGAGGTTGCAGAGCACAGCGAGTCATCATGCCAGGGGCTGGGCATGGACTAGGCTGGGCCTGGGGTTGGGGTCCCTGCTCAGGACAAATCCACTCGACCAACTTCCGCTTTTGTTCTTGTGTCCGGCAGGAGTTGGTGGTCTCTAGGGAGGACAATGAGACTAATTCAGGGCAAGGAGAGAACGCACCAAGCTCTGAGCAGACTCTGAGCGGATCTCAGATTCCCCACAGCTCCCTGGGCACAGCCGCCTCTGCTCACATCCGTCCTCCTGCACAGGACAGCGCTTCCCAGCTTCTGCTCTTCATCCACGTGGACCCTCACAGCAGCCGGAAGTGACGGAAACCTGGCTGCTACCACACTGCCCTGCATTGGAAGCTGGAGCTGAGACTTCTGCACTCAGCATGCATCCAGCCTCTCACCGCTGTTCACCCTTGTGGTGCTCTCCTGGGGTGAGAGAGAGGGAGGGAGGGAGGGAGAAAGAGAGAGGGGACTCACAGGGAAAATTCGCCGCCACCCCCTGACCTTCAGTTCCCCACCGAGAGGTGCTTCCAGTGCTGTCCTTCCAGAGACGCTGCTGCTTGTGCGTGCACGTGTGTCCTCGTCCTCTGCCTGGCCACCCCACGGCCGCCAGCAACAGGCTGTGCCCCTGTTGGCTCACTTGGTGCATCTTGGAGACTGCTCCACTCCAGAACCACACATTGCCTGCCCCACGGGCCCAGCAGAGCTCCACGGTGCAGAAACCAGTCACGGATGGACCGCAGCCTCTGGGGCCGAGGCGCCTGTGCCCTGCTCCGACCCCGTGGTCTGCACAGTGGGGTGGGCGGCATCGCTCAGTGCCGAAAACACTGACGTCGCTCCGTGACCTGAAGGGAGCTTTGCTTTATTCTGACTTCTGAAACCTGCTTCTTTGCTTCACCAAAAACATGTAAACCTTTAGATTGAAACAATCATTAAAGTAAAAGACACATGGCCATTACGGCCCCAGTTCCCCGCCACTTACCCCATTGTTTTCGTCACTTTCCGAAGCCGTTCTGGAAATCCTCTTCGGTGAGTGTTCGTGAGTTGGGATAAACATTCTGACGTATGCTGCTGTCGACTGCCGTCCAGCAGAAAGGCGGGCTCATAAAAACACCAGCGCGTGTCAGTTTTCATCTTATTCACCGGAACTGGCACCGTGCGACTTCCCTCTCTTCCCCAGTCAAAACGGCCACGAAAGGGAAACGTTTTGAATCAATTCAGGACATCCAGGCAGCCAGGACAGCGCAACTGAGAACTGCTTTGGAAAGTGCAAGAACAATGGAATAAGTGTTTTAGAAGTGAGGGGAAGGATTTTGAGGAAAATTAATGACAGTTAATGACAGTTTGTCTTTTACTTAAAAAAAAGTTTTAAATATCCTCCGTGGTGTTTTTTTTTAAAATCACAGTTCATATGAATGCAAGAAATGTCCCTCTCCTCTAGGAAATTATAATCAGATTAAGGAGAAGAGATAGATAATTTTTGGCAAAGGTAACAGGACAAAATAATCAGTAAAGGATGGATTTTTTTTTTTTTTGTACCGGGGATCGAACTGGAGACCTGGCGCTTGTGAGGCAGGTGGCAGAACCACTGAGCTAAATCCGTGGCCCAAGGATGGGTTTTTAAAAGAGGTATTAGGACAATTGGCTTTCTACCTACAAGAAAGTACTTAGATGATTATTCCAGATCATGCACACACATAGAAAATACCAAATGGTTTAAAAGTATATATGTTAAAACTGGGAAGGTATTAAAAGCAAATATACGAAACAAAAGTCCAAAAATTTCCCTGACCAAGACGTAAAATTCAGAAGTCATAAAGAAAAAGCTTGGAAAATTTGACTATGTAAAAATATAAAACTTCTAGCTAGGCCTGGTGGCACATGCGTGTAATCTCAGCAGTCTGGAAGGCTGAGGCAGGAGAATCACAAGGTTGAGTCCAACCTGGGAACTCAGCAACTTAGTGAGACCCTATCTCAAAAGTTAAAAAAAAAGGGAAGAGGGCTGGGGATGTAGCTCAGTGCAAAGGCCCTGGGTTCAGTCACCAGCATGACAAAACTTCTGATGCTCTGTGACACAAAGTGTGCAGCGATGCTGGGAAGAGGAGCTGTCTTGGAGCTGGATCCTGGCAGTGGTGGCACAACGGTGTCACTGCATTGACACCACTGAACCATACCTTGGTGCAAACGTATGTTTTCTGTTGTGTAAATTCTACAGTAATAAAAAAAGACACACAAGGATTCAGAAGGAAATATGTAATATATAAAACTAAGAACGAATGTCTCTAATACATCTGTAAAGCTAAACATACTTTTAGGAATGAACCAACAAAGAGTTTGTATGAATCAGGAAAAAGTGACAGAAAGTTTATCTGCATTCCTGTACACCAATAAGGAACCCACCAAGAAAGAAATCAAAAAAGTAGTTCTATTCAGAATGGCTCCAAAAACTTTAAATAGCTAGGAGTCAACATAACCAAGGAGGTTAAAGAGTTCAGTAATAAAAATTACAGCTCTCTGAAGAAAGGAGTTGAAGGGGACATTAGAAAATGGAATTAGAAAATGGATATCCCTTATTCTTGGGTCAGAAGAACCAATATAAAAATGGCAATATTACCAAAGGTGACATACAGACTTAATGCAATCTCTATTAAAATACTAATAAAACTATTGGCAGAACTAGAAAAAGCAATCCTCAAATTCACATGGAATCTGAAAAGACCCAAATTAGCCAAAGCAACCCTGGACAAAAGGAACAAAGCTGGAGGGGTCACAACATTGGATTTCAAGTTATATGACAAAGCTATGGTAACAAAAACAGCACGATACTGGTACAAAAACAAACATATAGTTCAATGGGTCAAGATAGAAGACATAGAAACAATCAACATGTACCTACCGCTATCTGATTTTTGACAAAATGGCCAAAAATATATGCTGTAGAAAAGACAGTCTCTTTAGCAAATGGTTCTGGGAATCTCATCCTGTGCTAAGACCAAATCAAAATGGATCAGAGACTTAAATATAAAAACAGACTTTGAAGTTGCTGGAAGATAACATAGGGAAAACATATGCAGCTGTAGGGCAGGGACTTCCTGAACAGAACCCAATAACACAGGAAATAATTTCAATATTCAACAAATGGGACTATATCAAATTGAAAAGCTTCAAGAGAAAACCTACATAATGGGAGAAAATCTTTGCTAGGTATTCTTCTGATAGAGGACTAATATCTAGAATATATAAAGGATTCAAAAAATTAACTGCCCCCAAACAAGTGACCCAATCAAAAAATGAGCAAAAATAAATGGAATAGAAACTTCTCAAAAGAAGAAGTAGGGCTAGGGATTTAGCTCAATGGAGCTGCACCTGTCTTGAAGGTGCAAGGTCCTGAGTTTGATCCCCAGTACAGAAAAAAAAAATTTTTTAAAGAAGTAAAAATGGTAAGTATAAGAAAAAAATGTTTGTTTTAGCAATTAGGGAAATGCAAATCAAAACATCTTTGAGATTCCATCTTATCCCAATCAGAATGACTATTATCAAGAACACAAACAACAATAAATGCTGGTGAGAAAGCAGGGGAAAAGGAACCCTCTTATATTGTTGGTGGGAATGTAAACTAGTACAGGAACTATGGAAATCACTATGGAAATTCCTCACAGAACTATAAATAGAAATGCCATTTGGCCCAGAATGTCAGTCAGTTTTCTTCCTACTGAGACACTATACCTGATGGCCACAACTTAAAGGAGCAGAGGTTTAATTTGGCTCACAGTTTCAGGGGATTCAGTCCATGGTTAGCTGGCTCCAAGGCAGAAACATCCTGGTGGACGGGCAGACAAGAACAAAGATGCTTAGCTCATGGCATCAGGGAAGCAGAGCAGGGGAATAGTGCCAGAGAAGAAAGGGCAAGGGTACCGATATGGATCCCAAGGTCATGCCTCCATGACCCAGAAAGACACACCTGGAAGCGTGCTTTAATCTCTGAGAAGTTCCCAAGCCAATCAGATTGGCCCAATCAAGCTTAACCACCACACTCAGGTATGCCTGTCTTGGGTACATTCCAGAAAGAATGAAAGACATCATACTATAGTGATACATGCATGCCTACATTTATAGCAGCTCACTTCAAAATAGCTAAGCTGTGGAAACAGCCTAGATGCCCTTTAACATATGAATGGATAAAGAAAATGTAGTATATATACACAGTGTATTATTATTCAGCCATAAAAAGAATGAAATCATGTCATTTGTAGGAAAACAGAAGTTGAAACCATTATCCTAATTGAAATATGAGGTGAGCTGTGATATAAATATGTGATCAATGTTTAAATTTTTAAAAATATTGCAGCAAAAGATGTATTGCCATTAATCCCCTTGAAATACACCTCCCCAGCATACTTCAAACACACTTTTGCCATCATCCTTGCCACTTTGTGAGGCAGTTCTGGAAGTCCTCTTAAGATGGGGCAGATGGAGAGAGATCTTAAGCAGATCCTAAGATGGAAAGAGATACTCTCGATATGGTGATGCCATCATCACTGTACATAGAATCAATCAGGAAAGTGCTATTTTCAACTTTCAGTCCTTCATTCGAGTCTGGCACTGTTTGCAGGAGCAATGAGAAGATGCTTTTTTCAATCTTTTTTTTTTTTGTACTGGGGATTGAACTCAGGACCTTGCACTTGCAAGGCAGGCAATGGCACCACTGAGTTAAATCCCCGGCCTGCTCTTTTCACTCTTTAATTTGCATATAGGAACAGCCAATGAAAAGACACTGATCCTGGGCTGGAGATTTACCTCAGTGGTTCCACTGCCTGCCTTGCAAGCACAAGGTCCTGAGTTCGATCCCCGGTACCAAAAAGAAAAAAAAAGACACTGTTCCTGATCTTTTGTTTACATATGACAGAAGCCAAGTGAGCTTTCTGATAGGACAGTTTACACTGGCTTAACAAGAGTGTGTTTGATAAGACAACTGTCCCAATGCCTTATTTGCATGAGAAGGAGATAACCTGGAATTTTGGATACGAAGAACCCTTTTTCTCATAACTTTGGGGCTGCAGAATACAACTCTTTTCTACCTTCAATTACTGTGCACATTCTTGGCTTTTCTGTGTATCTTGTCCAATTCCTTATTTGGGTCACAAAGAAACTGGAAAGTAGCCCTATTGGACTGTCCTTCTGGTAACACTTTTTCATGAGTGTATGTACAGGTTGTGATTTAAAAAAATACTGAATGCTGCTGCCAAGTGCCACTCAATGGAAAGGCAGGCTCAAGAAAACTGATGTGTCCTCATCCACTTTAGTCACTGGTCTGGTGCTGTGCCATTTCTGGCTCTTCTCCAAAGTCAAAATGACCATAGGGCTGGGGATTTAGCTCAGTGGCACCACACTTGTCTGGCAAGCACAAGGTCTTGAGTTTGATCCCTGGTACCAAAAAAAAAAAGACCATAAAAATAAACATTTTGAATCAGGTAAGGACAGTGAGGCAGCCATGCTAGTGCAAATAAAGACACTCATGAAAACAGATATCTGGAACTGCTTCAGAAAGTGGCAAAAGTAATGGGCGAAGAGTGTTGAAAGTGAGGGGGAAGATTTTGAGGGAGATTAATTATAGGAAATGGGGAAAGGGATGTTGTCAGAGCCTCTGCAGAGGGTCTTGGCCTCTTGTGAGCCACTACAGCACAAGGCTAAAGAATAGAGACAGGAAATGAAACTTAGAGAGAAGCTGGGTCTTGGGATCTGAGTAATGCTGATCTGGGCAACAAAGACAAAGACCCCCAAGAGCATGCAGTATTATTGAATACAATCATAGGAAGGAATAGGAAGCAAGGTATGCTTTGAAGACATCTAGTGAAATACTGCTGAATGGGTCCAGGGATTTAGCTCAGTGGTTCTGGTGCCTGCCTCGCAAGCGCAAGGTCCTGACATTCGATCCCGGTACAAAAGAAAAGAAAAGAAAAGAAATACTGCTGAACACCTGACATGATGGTGCCAGGCAGGGCTGTTAAGGTGTAAGCACTGCTTATCTTTCTTGGAAGAAACAAACTGGCACTGGGACCAGGAACAATTAGCAAGCAACCCATTGGGTCAGTGAGAAGCCATGTCAGGGAAAAGCATTTTAATTGGGAACTTGCTGACCTCAGCTGCGCATAACTCAGCAGAGCCCTAACACTTCTCAGACCAGAACTTAGGCCTTGGTGACAGCCATAGCAAAGGAGCAATGCTAGCCCAACTCTGTTATCTGACATGGCCATTTGAGTCATGTAGGGCTTTGATCTGACTCCTGATATAAAATAATTAGTCAAATTAGGGAAGGCAAGAAGCATTTGCCACTCATAGCTCACTAGTACTGGACAGGGGTGTCTGCTACAATTAATGACAATGTGTCTTTTACTGTAATACATTTTTTAATTTAAATATTCACTGTATATTTTAATCATATCTTATAAGCGGACTTGGAAAGTTAAATATTGGAGAAATTTTCTGATATATGAGAAACCTAAAATATAAATAAATAAATGAATGAAATTAATGAGAGGGATACTGGAAGGCAGAATTTTGGAGATAGTAAAGGGGCTAGGAGAGGAGAAGGAAAGGGAGAGGTGAGTAAAAGAATTGAAAATGAGGGCCGGGCTTTGGCTCAGTGGTTCCACCACTCGCCTCGCAAGCACAAGGTCCTGAGTTCTATCCCTGTTATCAAAAGAAAAATTGAATTGGTCAAGGTATACTTTATGCATCACTTCTGTATTACAAACATGCACTAATGAAAGTTCATCTGAAAAGTGAATTAAATGATACAAATGTGTATTTCACAGAGTAAAATACAAATGGACAATGACGTTTTATGGAAAGATGTTCAATTTCCTTAGTAACTGCACATAACAAACTAAAATGATGAGGTATGTCTTAGTTACTTTTCTTGTTGCAGAGACAAAATACCCAACATCCAAAGTTAAAGGAGGAAAGGTTTATTGTAGATCACAGTGTGTAGAGGTTTCAGTCCTTAGTTGGCTGGCTCCAAGTCAGGGTGGCACAGCAGAGGGACATCACAGAGGAGAAACAGTACATGGCAGGCAGAAGGCAGAAAAGCAGCAAGCAGCAACTGAGGAGCAACCCTCTTTCTGTCCCTTATATCCTATCCAGGTGACATGCCCTTAGGGTGGGTAGCACACACACCTAGGATGGGCTTTCTCATTATCCACACCTAGAACTATATGCCAAACAAATCAGTGGACTAATTTACTAATCATACACTTACTCCTAACATCATACACCCTAGATCCAGCCATCTCTAAAAAGCTCCACCTATTACTGCATGAGGCTTTGGGGGTACATCTAGATACAAGCTATAACAAGGTAATACCCCAAAGTTTAGTAAGTGTTAAAGAAGAACAGATCAAAATTTGGGTATGGTGGTGCATACCTGTAATCTCAGTTCTGTGGGATGCTGAGGCAGGAGGACTGCAAGTTAAACCCCAAATGTAGGGACTTAGGAAGACCCTGTCTCAAAATAAAAAAACAAAAAAAAGGGGTGAGGAGGTAGCTCAATGTGAAAGCCCTGGGTTCAATCACTAGTACCAGAAGAAAAAGAGAAAAAGAAAAAGAAAGAAAGAAAGAAAGAAAGAAAGAAAGAAAGAAAGAAAGAAAGAAAGAAAGAAAGAAAGAAAGAA